AAACTCAAAATATTCTTTAAAAAAAACCTAGAAAAAGCAAGCAAATTCAATTCAATCAAGCTTCTTCCTCAAATTTAACTTTATTTTAATTCTCATATTATATATTCAATTTATTACTAAAAGCTAAAGTGACTGAGTCTTCCACTAGTACTAGAATACTAATCTTATTATTATTATTCTAGATTTTAACCTACAAGAAGAAGGACATACGGAGCTATCTCGTTTTGTAAGAACTAGCTCATCTCCTTGAAAATAAATCATAATATCGAAAAATCAAAAGAGTTAAAGGGTTTCATGATTTTTTCTTTCCCTCTGACCAATGCAAGACCATTCAAAATTCTTGAGATGCTTTCCAAAACGCCTTTCAAATGGTAAAGAGACCAAAGATTCCTTGATTTGTTGACTTTTAAGAATAAAGGTCTCTCCACAATCAAGCAAGGAGTTTTGACGAGTCAAAAAAAGAAAGTAGAAACATTTTTCAAAAATTTCATGGCTCTATTGGTCGGAATATATCGAGCAGAAAATGAACAATTGCCCTTATTTCCACAAATACGTACTCATAAACGCCATAAAATTCAAAAGGGTATTGAAGCTAAAGAATCAGAATCTTTTTACTACTCCTCTTAACTCCTTGATTAGTATTTCTTAGATTCATAAATTTCTGGCCAAAGTAGTCTTACAACAAAGCACCAATAACTCAATCTCATCATGAGATTCAATAACTTTGTTCAAATATCATTTTTGACTTCATTAATTCTTTTAGCTATATTCATCGCAGTTCCATCAAAAGCCAGATCGAAAGTACCATTTTCCATACCAACATTAAGAACTTTTCATTTCATACCTATATCACGTCCAAATCTCAATACATTCATGCAACAATCCGAGATTATATATCAACGAGGAGTAACAAAAAGAAGAGAAATTAGACATGATTTTCCAAATCGAGGATTTTTTCCTGCCAAGGATGAAATAACTTTCAAAGAAACTCCATGGAGTATTTGGGATTTAGTTACTCCAGGTTATGGTTGTCCATGGGAAATGGAAAGAATTGGTAGAATTGGAGAAGGAGGTTGGTGGATTTGTGGAATTAGTAAATTTATTGAAAAGAAAAAACCTTGTGTGGTTTATAGTTTTGGTAAGTAATTGATTCATGAATGTTGGATCAATTCATAGCTAACTTCAAATCAAAATAGGTGTTGGAAGTGATTCATCATTCGAAGCCGAAATACTTAGTCGAACGAAATGTGAAATTTGGGGTTATGATCAACATGTGCCGGGATTTAATTTTGGTGAAGAAGTTACAGAAGAAATGAGAGCAAGAGCACATTTTGAAAGAAATGGAGCAAGTAGTGCAACAGATGATGCAAATCGACTTGTTACAATTCAAGATATGATGAAAAGAAATGGACATGATTACATGTGAGTTTTCTAAAAGTCGCATATTCCCCTAGTCCTCATTGTCAAAAAACTTTTCCTTGACAAGAATTAAAGAAAAGAAAAGCTAATGGTTGAATTTTTGTGGGTATAGTGACATTTTAAAGACGGACATCGAATATTCGGAATACAATGCTCTTTCTTCCTTGAATGGTTATACACTTCCTGGTGGCGCTGGTGCACTTACATCTCCAGATCCGTTAAACCCAGAATTTCCTATTGGTCAAATACTGGTGGAAATGCATATATTTGAGTGGCAGGGTATTACTGCAAGTGTTTATTTGGATTGGTGGGAAAGTATGGAATTTAGAGGATTGAGAGCTTTACACAGAGAAATCGATACGGTAGCACCAGGTATGGGAGTTGAAGGAGGGGGAATCAAATTGTGTAGCGTAAGTATTCCCAATTCTTTTCGTTGTCAGAATAAATGAAATGAAGTGCGCTGACATTTTTTATGTAGTATACATTGTTAAACGTACAAGATTCGAGGAATAAACTTTATCATAGGTAAATTCGCTGAGGACATGAGGCGGATATGAGGCATGGTGGACATGAGGTGTAATGAGGTGTGGTGAGAGACTCTTTGAAAATAGATTTGACACAATGGAAGAGAATTATTGTGTGAATGGATTATTGGATGTACGAATGATCGCTGGATGTTAGCTGCCGGTTGCTGGATGTTGGTTGTAGGGCTTGACAAATAGACGTCGAGAATGAATAGAATATTGATATGGTTATGAAAATGCATGCGATGCGAAATCTTTTCGTCGTAATTGTTTGATTCTTATAGTGATACAGTTGAGGTTGAGACCCATGAACGAGAATAATTAACCTGGCGCGGTAATGAAAATCATTTTATGAGGTGGAATATCTATATTATATTTACTACATTACAGAGCGACCAGCGTTTCCTATGAATGATTGTCTCTGTCGACAAGTTGACGTAAAGCACCAAATCCATAAATCATGTAGTAGTACTAGGCATTTTACAACCTTTAGTTGCCGCCTCCAGATTCTTCATATTTTGTACAATTCCACCTGCAAAATCTGTCTTCAATTTTGCAACTGTCGCATTACTACTAGCCACATTACTTGCAGTCAAACTCATGGTCAAATTCAGTTCTTCCTGTTGTGCCATTGCGACAATTGCCAAACCAGGTAGGGCACCATTTCCTGCTGGAGCTATCTTTTGATTGTTTTGTCGAATTTGAATTCCTTTTTGAACAAAAGTCATAAGTGATGATTGTGCTGCATCAAACATGGAGGTATTAAAAGGTGATTGTTGAAGAATCTTTCCAACAGCAGTCACAGCTTTTTGTTCATTCCGTTGGTCTGCAATATTCGAACTGATTCCTGATGCAAGAGCTTGAACTTCTGGTGAACATGAAGTGGATGTTCCAGTTGATTTGGCACCAGCTGAACTTGTAGAAGATTTAGGGTTGGTATCATCGCTGGTCATATTCATCTTTTGACGAGATGAAAGACCATACATCTGATTGGCGGATATTGTTGGCTTTGGTGTAAACGGGACAGTTGCAGGTTCGGTTTGAATAGGAGATGCGAGGATCAATGTACCCAATAAAAGGAGGAAAAATGAAATGCTCTGAATGGAACTTCGCATATTGACGATTTTGGTTTGAAGTTCTAGGAATTGGAAATGAGTGTAAGGCTTTGTAAGAAAGGTCAACTTTCCCGATGTGTGATACCTGCCGGCTGGTATAATTAAGTAAATTGAATAATGATTGTTTGGGATACCAGAAATACAAGTGGACATCATAAGATTATGTATAAAATTTGTAACCCCGCGGTTTCAAAGGATTCCATGTGTTGAAACCGTATGTAAATGTTTCATGAGACAAACTTTAATGCGGACGTCATAAACCCAATGTTGTTTGAGGCGACGAAGGGTATTCAGTTGAGGCTAGGTAACATTTGACATTTGGTATGGAGGGGATTATGATCGTTGGGCTTGTTCAATTAACCTTTGCAATCCCGTTTCGATTCAAAACTATAAACTTCCCCGACACAATTGTGGTAGAAGTTGGCGAAATCTGGCTATGTAATGTTGTGGGCATCGGAAAGAATGTTAAAAAGATTGCGGGCAGAAAACTTCGCAACCTACACTCGATCTGACTATAGTAAAGTCTTGTTTTCACTTGACGTTTTGGTCTAACGTTTGACTTGGAGCGACGAAAGCTGTGTTTTCAAAGCATCTCAACGAGGGGTAACTTCGTATAATGTACGCAAAGCCTATGATCTCCTGGCCAAGAAAGCTATCCCTGGCGACGACTATATTCAAGAGTCGAAAAGCATATCCGAACACTTTGCATAAATTGATCCGCGACGTGATGCGCCCCAGATTTGTTTCTATAAAAAGTTTATGATCGCACTGACGATCAGTCAAAAGTTCAGACGATTGCAAATAGCAAATAGCAAATAGCAGATAATCTATTTTCAAATTAAAGATATTACTCCAGTGGCTGTGAATTCCCCAGTTTCATATTTCTTCTTTCCACTGCCCAATGCCCAATGCGATGAACTATGAAAACACACGCAAGGTATGTGAGATACTGAAATAGATGGATAGTCGAGACCCTAAATGGATTGTGTTTATGGGTCGAAAGACTAGATGTATCATATCAGGACATTTCTCATCCCGTAACTCATGATACTTGAACAGATAATTGAATAGATTGATCCGATGTCCTGATCATGCAAAATAGAAGTCTTAGAATTATTCGCAAGTAAAATTCCATTTGACACGCTAAATTGCGGACTCATAGCGCCTGGACCCCACCATTGACTTAGGCGTTGATAGGCATGCTCGAGGCATGACAGTCGTAATAGGCTCTGGCAAGAATGACCATGGTGTGTACATAGCCTGATGATCGCATACTTAATTACATCACCCCCCTAAACCCCCCCCCTACACACGAAAATCGCTTTCGGTGCGCACTCAATCACCACTGCGCTTTACGAATAATCAACGCTGTATTTACTGAATAGCCGCGAAGAATGATTTCAAAACGCGGGATGGATTGACCAAGGTGAATTCATGAGAATCCGACGTTCCAAATGACGGAATGAGTAATTAGATTTAAGCTAACCGCCCCGCAACTAGATAACAGAGCGACCCGATCAATCCATAAATTTTACTACAACATTAATGCGGTAGCTTGCGAAGTTTTTCGAACTCTATTATCAGACTGGCAGAAGAACTACACCCGGCGGCAGAACCATAACCGTTGCGAGCATGCCATGAGGATTGGATTTGGCCATGGCATCTTTTGAGTGCGCGAGTTGGAAAGGCGCAGATGACTTCCGCAGGACAGGGACTTGAGCGTGCGCCATCGAAGGAACCTTACAAAACTTCAATTCAATCGGCGGAGCACATACTATCTAGCTCGTCGGAGTAGCTTTACGACCGGCGGTGCATTGAGGTCAAGCCCGTCCAAGGAGTTGATTGATTCGGCTTCAGATGAAAGTAGGTTGGGAAGCCAAAGGGTCGCTGGATGCCGGCAGATATCCCATACAAATGCGAAGTTCTGAGAAACATACTCGCTATGGCTACGAGTAGATACATTACCGTCGAATCAATCAGGCAGTACCACCCACACAAATATCGAATTGACGGTCGACGAAGTAAAACTTGTTGTGCAGAATATCCTCGCACCTTTCCGCACCTTTCCGCACCTTTTCGCACACCCTCCCAAAGAATCCTAGAGGCCGTTCAGAAATATTTTAGAGCAAAATCGATTGGCACTTTAAAGACTGGTGTCAGACCATCCTGGGAAAACTTGGAGGGTCAGCCGTCAATGTCTCAATCGCTTTGGAGTAAGAGAGGAGGGAAGAGACGATGGAAACCGCCAGTACCAGAATAGCAGCAGGGACAATGCTATCTCCATTCGTTTGGTCAAAACGAAATTCAAGTAATTATTATTCTAGGCAGAGAAGAGAGTTTGGGAGAAGGGCATGCGCATCGGCAACTCTCACCAAAGGAGGACAAGCTAGGATCTAGTATTTGTTGGCGTTCCCAAGGTCTAACATTGAGCGATCTTTGGGGAGATATTGATGGGGAATGTTCGAATTGTTTGAAACCAAAAGAGGGTTTGAGTATTGAGAATTGGAGGTTGGAGTATATGTTGTGTTTTTAATCTGTAGATGAGAGCATTCGAATGTTGCTGGACTTGAAGAGTTGAGCTCTCAAGTATTTCAATATTATCATTCGATATTTCCCTCATCTACCATACAGTATTCCCAACATCATGCTTTCAATGCCCCAAGCCAGTGTATGTATTCAAATAAATAAACCACATCTTTCCTGTTAACCACCAAAAGCCACCAATCTTTACTAACCACCATTGGAAATTCAATAAATCTTCCCATCCCAAAGCAATCCAATCACAAAGCCACATCTTGAGCAGTATCTTTTTGTATAACAATGAAGTGACATTATCGGTGTGCTTCAGAATGTATTTGTCAAATGATGAAAAAAGATCCCCAGTAGGGTCGACATGGGGGCATATACGAGTGGAACGAATTGCTCGGAAAAATATACAGGTAAGAGTATTGTCATCCGATGAATCGAAATCTTCTGGTACTGCTTGCTGCGTCTCTAACTTCAAAGGTCGTGTCCATAAGAGATTGGAATCGGAGACGAATACAGTTTCATTTTTCGATTCCATTTCAAGACCTTGGATGATGTCGACATACTTGATGAATTGGGTGTAGAAGATCGGTGTAAGTACTGATATTTCTATGGATTTTGCTAATTCCGGTGACATTTGAGCTGACGGAGAAAACATAATTTCTGGGATATTGTCAAGAAGCCCGGCAGGTCTGTACTTTAAAGTCAAAGGCTGGTCCGTTACCTCAATAAGATGTTGTAAGAATTGTCGAAATAATGCCTCAACAGACATCTGGGTTTTATCGGCATGTCTTGAGATAGTCTTTTTGAACGGTTCCGGGCGCGAAACCCATGGTAAGGACCGTTTGAAAAATAATATAGAGGCTTGGACCAATGTTCGTGGGAATGTAGCAAATCCTACCCACCACCATGATAGAAGAAACTTAGTCTTTTCGAGTACCGACATGGTAGATGGGTCGAATGCATGGCCATCGGAGAAGACTCTTGCTACTAAGAATGGGCGTTCAGTAGAACTAAGCGTTAATGTGAGATCCAGAGGATTACTTCCAGAAAGCGATGGGAAAAATGGATCAGAAGCTGAGACGGAATATGAACCACTTCGAGAATTGAATGGAGAAACAAAAAATTCCTTCGACCAAGTGTTTGTGAACCTTGGTGGTTTGCCTTTTGGTTTCTCTATTTTGGAATCTTCCGCATCCTTTGGTGTAACAAAATAAGTATGACGTTCATCGAATGTATTATTGACTTCAAGGATAACAGCTTTCAATTCTCTATTCCTTGAGTAAAGATTCCATATTGAAACTGGGTTATTTTGATACCCAAGAAACTTAGAAGATGTCAAAAGATATGCAAATGGATAATCTTCATGATTTATACCCTAGATCTTGTCAACAAAAGCCTGAACATTGAAAGATCAAAATTACCTGATCGTGAAGAAATCTATGCAATTTCCCTTCCAGCCCACCAGAAACATGACCCCTCTCCAAATAAAAATCTCCATCCACGACATACCAAGGACTCATTGGTTGAAAGGATAATAACCTTCTATACCATGGGAGTCCATCATTTTCATCGACTGAAATCATTCCTCCAGAAGATCCCGCCCAACCAATGGGTATGCCAGTCAAAAGGTAGGAGTAGGAGAAACCATGTCTCTTTGGAGATAACCTCAAATGACTTGTTTTCGTAGGAAAAAGCATAGGCTTAAGGAATTGATCATCTAGATAAATAGATGCTACCTGAAGCCCTCGGACATATCGAATAATTTGAAGGATTGAAAACAGGGCACCCGTGCTCGAGGCAATGGTAATGATGGTTGATTGGTCAACATATTTCTGGATTGATTGTAAAAATGAATATCTATTCCGTATAATCGAGAAGGCGAAGATAGTTAAGATATCGGACACTGATCCGAATAACCCAATGAGTGTAATTGAGGTGAAGGCAAAATATGAAACACCCATGATGTGGTTTGGAAATCTAGGGGAGACGATGTTGAGTTCTTTGATAATGCATTTTCTTTTTCAAATGTTCCTAATATCAAGAATTATGAATCGTGAGGAAACCGAACGTAGAGGTAAATACGGGACAGCCTTTATATACAAGACCTCGGGGTTCTCGTATGATAGAAAAGCAATGATGTTTTAGAGTTGTCCGAACATGTAAAGTACATATGCTCAATGGGTACGTACGGATTGGTAAAGTCTAAAGTCATACAAGGATATATTGCCACACCATTTCATCTCAATACAGTAACGTTTCCCTTCTACGGCACTCACCGCTTGACGACATAACTTAACCCTGCTTACATAAGAAATTCTTTTTGTATCTGATTCATTCGGCGAGAGGAAGCGCTATTCAGTTGCCACAAATAGAAGTCATCAATCCTTCTTCAGCTTTTTACAACATACAACAACATCAGCGTCAAATACCTCGATAAATTTTCGGAATTCCTTTTCATTCAAGTCAACATTCTATTACTTCAAGCAACACTTTTTAATCGAATACCCACATAAATCCCAATCAAAATGGATGACTGGGAGTCAACTACAAAGATTGGAAAGAATGTTCGTGGAGGAGCTGGCGCAAACAGAGAGACTGTCATTAGAGGAGCTGCTGCATTGAACGCTGCTAAGAGAAGTGGAGGAGCTATTACTACTGAGAAGAAATTTGCTTCCGGCAATGCTGTAAGTCGAGTTCATTCAATCATTAACAATTACTCCGCGACCCCGCGACCTTCTTTCCGCGAGCCTTACATTCGACCGCCATGTGCCATAAACTGACCTATTCAATTAACAGGGTTCTTCAGGAGAAGGCCAACATCTCACAAAAGTCGACCGCTCCGATGAAATCATTAAACCAAAGACCGTTGGTATGGAAGTAGCCCGAGCCATTCAAGATGGTCGCAAGGCCAAAAACATCAAAACCCAAGCCGACCTCGCCAAACTATGCAATACTACACCAAAAATTGTCAACGACATGGAAAGGGGTGTCGCCACTCCTGATCAAAAAGTTTTGAACAATATGGAACGTGTTTTGGGTATTAAGTTACGTGGAAATGACATTGGAGGTTCGAAGTTTGGAGGACCGAAGAAAAATGCTACACCTGCTCCTGCAGCAAAGGCAGCACCCGCTAAGACTACAATTAAGATTGTTCCTCCTACGGCTGGGCCACCGAGTGCGAAGAGTGGAACTCCTGTTACTGGAACACCTAAGTCTGGTACTCCAGGTGGAGCGGACGATGAGTAAATGCGGGTAGTGTGATGACGATAAAAAGAGGCGTGGCCCATCAAATGAGTATTGGTGGACGGTAGATGGTGAAAGGTAGCTGCTTCAAGCTATGGAGTTTATGAATAGATGAGATGCATGAAAGAATAAATGAAAGCATTAGACATCAAGAGGTTTTCATTGCGTTGGATTTCAATGTTGTTATACCTGGCGATTATGGTCTATCAGAGTAGACAAATCATTTACTCAATTCATACCTTTTTCTCCAATTAATTCACAGTGTCTTGACTGTTTCCTGGCGAATTCTGTTCTTCCTATTAAGGAATCTTTTTTCGCCTGATTTTCTCCTCGATCTTGGCCGACACATAAACAAGATCTCCGTTTTGAATGCGCTATGGTGGGGTCAGTTCATGATGAACATTAAACATGCCCCCATAAGATGGCGCCGAAGCGATGCAGAAAGTTGGCCCAAAAGACAACATTCGGCACGGGAAGGCTGGTGACGGGCACCCACTGCCAGTGATGTTATCACTTAGGGCGGTAAATAAAAGGTCATTGGTAATTATTCATTCCGTTTAATTTTCTGGTTATACAATTCTATTGTTTCTTCCTTTCCTCCCTCCTGTCCATTGTTTCTCAGTCCTGTGTCCTGTATTCTGTGACCCGTATCTCTTAAAGAGCCGAGTAAAACCAACAAACCATACATAGTACATTGTGCTCCTAATATATACAAAACAACGGTATCTTTTTCAACCAATACAATATACAAAATCTTAAAACAGTCGTTTTCCGACACCCGATCTCGATATCCAATTGAATTTGAGGTTCAAGCAGCTTGGGCTTTCTTGACCCTATCTTTAACACTCTCCTCCAAAATCTTCTTCTCCCTATCAAAAATCACAGCTTCCATCTTCCCAATCTTAGCCAATTGAACCCATTCCGGCGCAATCTCGACCGCTAAAAGTCTCACAACGGTAGTTGCTTCATCTTTCGATATAGGAGTTTTGAATGAATCCTTCAATTTCCCAACCAAAGTCGGCATGGTGAAAGAGATTCTTTGTTGACCAGCTGACCCCGACGTACTTAAAATACCGAGGACCTTGACAACTTCCTCCATTCTTGATAAAGCTGCTTTGCGAGCGACTTGCGCAGGAGAAGGCGCCTGAGGAAGGAGAGATTGTTTGAGTTGTTTTGCACGGAGACGCTCGAGGAGTGTAGGTTTTTTTTCGGTAGAGGAAGGGGAGGAAGTGTCTGCAGATGTCGCAGCTTGAATAAGAGCAGGGGAAGATTTCGTTCTTCTGAGATCTTTTTTAGCAACAATGCCAGCTTTCATATCTTCAAGTCGTCGTTGACCCTTGGCAAGGAGGGGTGTCATTTCCGAGAGTGAAGAACAAGGTGTGATTGGTTCCGATGGTAATTGCTTGATGAAATCCTCTATAGTAACATCATCCTCTTTCGATTCCCACTGACTTATCAATATCTGCGAAAATATTCCATTGAGTCTTTCTTCATCAATTGGCCTCAAATTATTACCTTGTTCACCCCCATCCCCAGCTTCAATTTCGACACATATTTTCCCGGATCCATAATCTGATAGAGTAATTGTAGAAAGCTTTTGATCTTCCGTGCCAACTTTCACATGAGAGTTCAAGACACCAAGAGCCCGGCTGATATCATCCAGCAAAACCTTCCGTTTCCCCCATGCTCTGGCAACATCCGGACAGAGATTCCGTAAATCTGCGGGTGCATTGGATCCATTGTGGGCGCAGTGGAGGGTGAGCGTCGTGAGAAGTGCAGCGTGGAGGTTGATAATATCGATGAGCTCGGCAGGAAGTGGTTCCTTAAGGTCCTCTTGTTGACTTGCTTCCTCCTTCTTTCCTTCAGCGCCAATTTGTGAATGTTTAAGAGGAAGTGTCGAAACTGCCGAGCCAGAACTCGAAGAAATGGATCGTAGCGACGAAAGAGAAGGTCTTTTTTGGACAGGTCTCTTGGGGGTTTGTAAAAGGAGACGATCGAGGAGAGTGCGCGCGCCTTTTGTTGGGGTATCGGTAGGTATTGAGGATGTTTTGATAAGTTTGTGCGGTGTTTGTGGAACCTTCGACGGGAGAATCGGTTTTGATGGAAGTGTCTCAATTTCTTTGGGATTCGTCGTAGTCGTTGCTATCCCAATGACATTCGATTCCTCCTCTGCATCCAACTTTCTCTTCCTTAAATTCGTAGTAGTCGTTGCTATCCCAATGACATTCGATTCCTCCTCTGCATCCAACTTTCTCTTCCTTAAATTCGTAGAAGGTTTATCTAATTTAGTGACTGTCACTGATACCACGTCCTCTGGTTTATTCTTTGCAAGGTTTGACTTTGCTCCACCCTTTGTAACTGCTTTAGAAATCGTAGTAAAGGAACTCAACGGTTGAATCTTGGTAGTTGCTGCATTTCTCGAAGTAGGCGTCGCGACCTTTCTTTTTTTAACCGCAGAAGGCATGATGGTAATTGTGGTGGAAAGCAAGAACAATCAAAAAGACACAAGGCAAGAATTACACAAGCAAGGTATGCGAATGCAGTCAAATTAAGATAGCAAAATTGAAGGTGCCCAGGTGTTCGTTACTTTCGTACAAAATTTGAACAAGTTGGTTGATGGAGGAACGAGAGTTATAAATGAATTCACGACGCGTATAAGGTTAAGGGTCAAAGCGTGTTATAACGCGTTAATTGATTTTCATGACGGTACTCGACTGTACGTCAGGCTGTAGTGAAATGAAATACACATGAACCAATCAATCACCACCCGACCTTTCATTATCCTGTCAGTCCAGTTCCAGTGATATTAACATAATGCTTACTGCTATCATTTAATCAAGACCTCTTTTTTTTTTTTGCATAGGGCCGATTCTTATCAAATACGCACGCCACTTCAAATCCACAAGCATCAAAGGTAGAATCATTTATGATAGCCAGTCGGCAAGATGTTATACACCAGCAGGAACAATTCATTTCAGTGGTGGTGGTGTACCCAGCTAGGCTATTGAGAGTGTCTTGTCGATTGTCAACAAGAAGAATAACTTAAGTATCATCAAAGCATACATTTTGGCCTTAAAGCATTCTGAGGCTACTATACTGGGTAACCGGAATTTCTCAAGAAAAAAAGTCAGCTGTCAATATCACCGTCTTCATTTCAAGAAAAGTGCAATTTTGATTGCAGTTTCAATTTCGAGAAGCCCCCCGCGACTTCGTTTAAGTCTACTGCTGGAAAATTGACGAAACATTGTTAGGTCCGGCCAAGACGCATTACTGAGAGAATTCTAGAGGCAACTATTGAAGGTGCAGGATAAACTCCATCAGACAAAACTTACTGCGATCAAACCTCTGGCATATACTGACGACATACAAGCAGCACTGGGCATATAGCGACATGTCTCTCCCTTTCCTCCAAACTTTCCCACGAGAGATCCGCGACTTAATTTACACCTTTATCCTCGCAGATCCGAATGGTATCATTACTCTCTCGCCATGGTCTATGCAAGTGGCGCGGTCCTTTTCCATACTTCGAACATGTAAACAAATACACAGAGAATGCAAGGAAATAATCTGGGAGCATAAAGGGCTGAAACTGCGGGAGCTTCCTGTCTTAAAATCCAAGCTCGACAAGAGGATGTCAATACATGGCGAAACAACGCGATGGCATATATTCATACAACTGGAGGTATTAGATTGGGACGAATTGGAATGGGTTGAGCGTAGTCTGGCAGCAATGGCAGGGTCTCCACACAAATTGCATGGTATTACAATCAAAGCGAGCAAAGAACGACCACAAACAGTCGAGGAATTTGAGGATGTTCTAGACTTAAGGGAAAATGGGGAGATAGTCGATGGAAGGTTATATCAAGAGTATCCTGGAAATGCTTCAACGGACAAAGGATATCGGACTTGGATGATAAACACCAGTTGGCCTCGATTGTCTCCTTGGGCCAAGAGGAAATGGTTGGCAGAAGTGCTAATTGACACGACAGATACAAGCAAGCTTCTAAATAGGATTCATGACAAATTTGGCGGACAATTATACGTTGATGGGGTGTTATGTTTGAAAGATGGAAAACAAATTGCGAAGGGGTTTAAGCTTGATTCAAAAGATGGGGAACTCAAAATTATTCCAAGGCGCAGGTAGGAAATTGTTCAACGAGATTGAAGACGCTCGCATGATTTTATTTTATTTCATTTTTATTTCTTTGGGGGGGGGGGGGGGGGGGGGCGAATCCGAATCCATAAAGAATTATTTATAGGTTCATAGTTCTCTAGAATATTCAAAGCTGGTCCGACCTTGAGCTATCAGACTATTTAGTATTCCGATTTGATTCAATCATCCGAAGTCGTCATACTTGGGTCTCGAATTATGATGATCAATTCATTAATGACTCTCGTTGACTCTCGAGTCACTCAATCAACCCTTGTGAAAATCATCGGAGAATATTCAAAATGTAGGTTACCGGCGCTAGTCACAACTTTTTAAGCCACGCAACCAATGATGTACAATGAGGCTGTGACACTGACAGTACCGTTTCTTCACCTGCAACTTCTATGTGTAGCGCATGATTGTTTTTTCTATTCAATGTGCAGATTTGACTAAACCTGACAGCAGAATACCACTTCTATCTGAACTTTAAGCTCATGGCTCCTTAGCCTTGACCTCTGAGCCCAGCAAACCCCAGTTCTCATACTAGGTACCAGTCTCCAGTTTCCAGCTCCAGTTTCCAAGTCCTAGATTCAAAATGCGAATTGAAACACATCTCAATATCTTAATCGATATTCCACGGGAGATTCGAGACGAAATATACGATTATGCCTTTCAAACTCCATTCAATTGTGTCACTTACCGTTGTACTCTAAACAATACCTATAAAATACTCCCTTATGATCCTCAAAACGACATTTGTCTTTCCAACTCTTCACTTCCCGCTCTCGGTCTGTTAAGTACTTGTTCACAATTATATAATGAAGCTATCGTTTCCCTCTGGAAGGTCAATAGCCTTGGACTCTGGCCCGCGGATTTACTTTTTCGCATGGGAGATTTAGGTGACTATACTTTTATACATGTTCAGTCACTACAAGTAAATCTCGATTTGATTGATTCGGATGATTTGAAATGGGCAGAAATGTTATTCTTGAGAATCGGAGGGAACTCTGGTCTTTGTAATGAAAGGACCGAGGGGGAAAGTTGGGGTGGATTAAAGAAAGTTCAAATCAACCCCATGAGAACCGAGGAAATTAAGATGGATGTCAAATGGATGCAAAGGGTCTCAGAAGCTATGGACTTGCGGTGGAAAAGCGAGGAACTTTTCACTGGTATGAATCCAGATGCAGATAAAAGTTGGGGGTTATACTCTCGGTGGATGGAGCTTCTTCGTAAGGCGGGAACACCGGGCAGTGATATATACTTAGGAGACGGGGTGAAAAGGTCGATTAGTGTAAATACGGCTTGGGATGACTGGGTGTATTGGGACCAGAAGGAGTGGCTGAAGAAATCACCTCATGGGGCTGGTTTGAAGGGAATGGAAGAAGTTATGGAGGATTTTAGTGACACTTTTGGAGGAAAATTATGGGCAAATGGGAAATTGTGTTATGAGGGTAAGGAGAGACTCAAGAGGGTTTTCGAACTGAAACCGGTCGAACTTCTTGGAATTTATCCAGCGGGATGCGAGTGATTAATATGCTAACGAATGGAGGGACGAATAACCGTGAGATTTGATCTTAGAATCCCCGCGGCTCCTAAATCGTGGTATGGACATAAAGGATCGACGGGGGCGTAGGATTTCGATGGGTCAGAATAGAGATTCTTGAGCGATTGGCGTTGAAAGGAACGGGGGGGCGGTCTTTTAATGAAATGAATTGGCTTGTGACGAGATCTAAAAGTGCTAGCTATCTTCCAGTTCTCGGAGTTGTGAGTTCCTTTTGGGAGGTGTAGCATTGGGGAAACGGAGGATGCAAAGCGGGAGAAATAAAGACGATGAATCTTGGGGACGCGATCATGCGGAGGCTATTTGGATGAAAAAAATCGACGACATATAAAATGGTCATCAAGGATGATTTTCATAAAAGTGCGATCAAGACAACTAGCAAGCGATAAATCAATAATATGGTTAGTTTCCCACTGGGTACATGAATGAATGTAATTCGAGGTATGTCTGATACATGGGTGCGACTGTCTAGAAATGTGTCGAGTAACTGAGGATGGAAGACGGCATGAAAGATAGCATAAAATATGGGTATCAAGTCTCATTTCTTTATATATCTTTCTCTAGAAATCTACAATCCTCCAGCGGGTGGAACATATGGAGTAATGAGCATCTCACTAAACTTCTCCAACCTTTCTTTTCCTCTTACTTCCTCAACTAATAATGGCATCTTAACCACATTAAACTCATCATACAACTCCTCAATTTGTTCCAGATATTTCTTCTGCATCTTCCTTCTTGCATTACATTGATCACAATCACTTCCTTTCTTGGGGAAAAGTAATTGATTTACAACTATACAATGGGTATCAATGTGATAGGAGCCCAATTCTTGGATCATACGCTCCGTTTCGTAAAGAGAAAGGAATTCGGGTATGCAGACGCAAACAAAGGTAGTAAGGTTTTCGTCCTTGAATTGTCCATTTACTTCCGAGATAGTTTCGCGGAGACCTTCTAATTTCTCCATCATTTCGTTGAGATTTTGTCCATTTGGTAAAGAACCGTTGGCTCCAAGTAACCCATTCAACATAGGTCCAAATTGTGTGGATAATTGGGAGACTTTCGCAAGGGCTTTTTCGAGAACGGTGGGGAATTGAAGGAAGCGGAGGGTATGACCTGTTGGAGCGGTGTCGAAAATGATGGTTTCGTAGGAGAGAGATTTAACTTGTTTGAGGACTTCTGCGAAAGACATAGCTTCATCAATACCGGGAATCTGCCAAAAGCATTAGTAAATTAACTATCCAAGTACTTATTTTGTAGGGGCAAGGAGAACCAACAGCAAAGGCCAAATCTTGCATCATTCCACCCATGCCCGCAGCAGGTCCCTCACCCTCCTCAGCCTGTCCCATAAGTTCTTGGATACTACCATTTGGATCAATTTCCATAGCACTCAAATTCTCAAATCCATTAATAAGTCTAGCTTCCTTTCCAAACTTTTGCGAAAAGGCATCACTCAAATTATGTGCTGGATCTGTTGAAATGAGGAGAACTGAACGACGAACTTTGGCAAGTTGAATGGCCAGGGAACATGATGTTGTAGTTTTTCCTACTCCTCCTTTTCCACCAACAAAGATCCAGCGAAGGGACTTTTGATCAAGGATTGATTGGAGAGTAGGCTCGAGTTGATCGTCATCAGTGTTGATTACTGCGGTGGACATCTTGATTATGGCGGGATTATGGCGGGAGGAGAAACTGGATGAATGGGGGAGAAGATCCTTAGTTTATTTAGCGACGAGGTCAAGTTAAATCAAAAATGGCAAAGCACGAAAGGAAACAGGAGATGGAGATTGTTTTGAGTAATTGAAGTCAAGTTTGTATGATGGTAGTTGTTGGTTCCCGAGTTCCTTGTAAACTCAAAGTTCTTGGTGAATTCTAGAATTATCTTTTGCCTTCTGACGTCTTCTTCTTGCAAAGTTGTCAGACGTACAGTACAGTGCGCTAAGTGATTTGATTCGCTAGCCTGGCTCGCCTGGGAAGCTCCCTACCAGGCTTATCATTGGATCAATACATTTCTAAGGTGTGTTCATATTCAAATGTATTCGAGTTTGGAAAGATCAAACAATGTCATCGCATTCCCTTCAATTCATGTCTCTTAAGAATGCTGGTAAAGTCTAAAGTACAATTGAAGTACAAGGCTTATAACCATTATCTAGGTACCCCCTTCCCCCCATCAAGCTTTTAACACAAGGCTGAAGCGGCCATCTCCGATTTGCGAGGCAAGCTTTATTCACCACTAGGTAGATGTTTCTTTCTCTCCCGGTAAATTTGTCAACGTAAACTATTCATCTTTTGAGTGTTGTTATTGCTTCACTCTTCAATACCACTCAGCGCGCTTCCCTCATTCAAGATCCTTCAGACTTTATTAGAGATTCGCGTCACCCTCCCTCTACCGTTCTCACTCCTTCACACCATTTACAGTCGATGCCCCGCAACCCCACCTCTGAACATTTCAACGAACGTCTACAAGCTATATCCTCACAAATTACCCCTCAATCAGCATCTCCTTCGCACACAACAAAAATGGCAGAAAGGGATCCAATTACATGTCATGCTCTCGACACTACTACTGGTCGACCAGCTTCAGGAATCAATGTCTCTTTAATCTGTCTTTCCGAAGAGTCCACCATCTTTCGTGCCATAACAAACGCCGACGGTCGAATCGCTAATTGGCTTAATGAACAAGAGAATGTTACATCCAAGAAAGTCGGCGAATTGATTGTTGAAGGGGGGAATATACAAAATCAGAATCTGCCAATGGGTTCTAGCATGTGGAAACTTCGATTTGAGACCGGCGCATATTATGGCTACGAAAACACTTTCTTCCCTTGCGTTGAACTTAACTTCGTAGTTAAGGAGGGAGAACATTTCCACGTCCCGCTACTTTTGGGACCATACAGTTATACAACTTATCGGGGAAGCTAGTTTGGAGTCTTATGCTGTTTATTTCCATGAATGTAGTTATTTCATGATTCTGTTGAGGGAAAGAAATAATTACAAAGGGATACCATTATCAACCTTTCAATATCCGAACTCCAAATCCATTCAACTCCTCGCTTGCTTGATCAAATCCCATCCCATCCATTTTTGTGTTGCGTTCTGCGTCCATCAAAATTTCTCCTTCCAAATTCTCAACTCCTGGTTCCCTGTTGCCAAATTCCTCTAAACTTTGTGTAAGTTCAACTTCCTAAGAACGCCCTTCCTTCTGTCTCCTGGTCTATACCCTTGATCATCTCGATCCTCCATTTCCACAAATTCTTCGACTGTTTTGGGTGGGTCGACCAGATCGTTTTGTTTCTCGACATCCTTTTCTATCGTCTTCACATCGCCATGAACATGATTACCATTTGTATATTCATCGTTCTCATATAAAGGTACGCTTAGATGTGATCCTTTATGTCTGCTATGAAGTCTCCTAATGGAAAGTCGTGAATGGGAACGATAGATGTCAACTTCTGTGGATTCGAGAGTCGCAAAGGGTGAGGTATCTGCTTCGGGGTGTGGGAGCGTTGTGTTACGATCTATTTTATTGTCAGCTTCTTTCCTTGGTCCCCAACATACATGACCCCCCCCCCCCCCCCCACGGAAGATCGAAAGGGAAAGAAGGAATGATAACATACCATGACTCAAAGGCTCCGGAAATCCTGTATCCTTACCCAGGGAATTTCTCTCCATCCCCAAAGGTTCTTGCATGTTCGCATTCATGCTCTCGTTATCGAAGGTATAATCGAAATCGCCAAATACTTCCCGTCGCTTTCGGGATAGTCTATGACTGGATCGAACACTTAAATTTAGGGTGCTACTAGAGGAGGAATCTATCGAGTCGGATGTTGTAGAAGTTGAGGAAGTTGATGAGGATGGTCTCCGAAATGTAAGGACATTGTGCCAGAATGAACCCGTCATTTTGTTCGATTTGTATTCTTTTTGGAGGAGAACAAGAGTGAAAGTACAGTAAAAAGATAGATAGGTATGGTCGAGGTAATAAAAGGATCTTCAGTCTGAGTGAGACAATTGAGAGAAATAATATGTAAAATGGTTTTCGTGAGGTTCAACAAGTTGCTGACTCTATTCCTTCCTGTTTGGTGTAGGCTTGCAGTATGCAGAAACCTAAATATGCAAAGGCTCAACTATGAATCCTGTTCTACCACACCGTATTCTGGAATACTCGAGAGCTTTCACTCATTGGCTCTGGCTCACGAATGGATTGTCTTGACGGCGGTTGGCTTGGTTGATTGATCGATTGTATACTTGTAAAGGGAGACCATTCCAAGCCCCCCAAACACAAATGCAATAACAATTACAGATATTAAATCATTCACTTACAAATAAGCTCAATTTAGTTCAGGTTTCCATTTCCATACAGTAATAATAAGTATGAATGAATCAATGAGTACTAGGTATTATTATGAATGTCTCTAAGGTTTGTCTTGATGGGCGGAGTGATTCAGAAGTGCATTAAAAAAATGGAGAAATATTTGAACAGGGGGATCATGTTCCAAGATGTTGAATACCTGGGCATATAGAGTAAGCTTTTTAAGGGCTCGAAAAAGGGTAGGGACTTACAAGGTCATTGGTTCTAAGTGTGTTCTAACTTCTAAGCCTTTTCTGAGAAGATTCACTACCCAAGTAGATTTTCGAAGTTTTGAATGGTTGGGCTGATGGGAAAGGTCTTCGTGACGTAAAAGTTGTCATCACGAGGATTGACGGTTGAAGTTCATTGGGGAGGGAGGGGTTTTCGATGGTAATACGTCGTATGCAATTTTAGGGCTAGGGTGTACTTGACTACCTTAGACATTAATAACGGTACATCTTACACATAGGCTCGAGGTAGGCTCGTAGGATGTGTTACTTCGGTGGGTGATAGATACTACCCAGGCTCCAGGTATGTAGGAGTAATGCGCCTCCTTCAAGATTGTTCACTTCAAAATCCAATCGTAAAGAATTCTAAAAGGGGAAGCTATTCACGGGGACAAGATTCCATCTCTTGAATACTTAATTTTAAATATCATTAATTACCATCCACGCTATTAAGGTTAAAGATCAGATTAGGGTAAGTTAAATCCCCTTCCTCGATAAATTGATTTCCATACTTGAGTAGATTTCAGTGAAACCAAATCTCATTACCATACCATGCTTCCATTCCGTGCTTGTTCTAATCTATTTTTTGCTTTGAACATTTTGCCCCATATCGCCACGGCTGTATGGAGATTTCGGGAGCACGGCAAGCCTGTAAACGTCTACTCCGGGATAAGAGTGGCATTGATAGCATAAGTATGCATTTACATCTGGGTTTCAGAGTGGCTAGTGACAGATCAATTCGATGTTGCCCATGGGATTGGTTGGATCAAGAAAGAGAAAACAAGCTCACAAGGTATATGGGAGTACTTCGCACGGAGAAACGATAAACTTCAGCTGCAAGAGAGTGGCTTGAATATGCTTGGCTCGTTGGCTGTTACGTGTTGAATATTTTATATTTTTATCGGAGAGGGGAGGGGAGGAGAGGGGAGGGGGCTTATGATATGATTCTTCCTGATTACGGTTGCCCTACACGTAGAATACGAATTGGCCAAAAAAAAGTTTGCCTTTTATGTTAACTTATTCTTATAGTAATAAATATAATTATTCTTCAATCTTTCTTCAGATGGGGGCTAGCCCCCAAACCCCCAGACCTCGCTGCGCTCGAGAGACGAAAGGTTGAATCAACATTAACAAAGGTAACACGGCCCACGGGTAAGAAGAAGGTTTGGTCCTACGCAAACCCTGTTGTCATTGCCGTGCTCGCCGTCTTACCTATGTTATGTTACGCTGCGGGGTGAAAAGGAAGAAAGGCAAACTCGGCACGCTCGTGGCAACTTGATTGTTGGCAAAGGAATGATTTATTGGTTATGGCCAAGATCCAAGAAGTTGTTCCCAAGATGTGACTCAAAGGATTGAAATGAATCGTATGATCTCCGTTGATAAGATCATTACATGATACAAGAGAATCAGTTGTTCTTTTGTCGTATTCCATGATGCATTGCCTCATCCCGGCTTCGAGGTTGATACCTTAGAGCCCGACGGTCCCGAACAAGCAATTTTATCAGGATTAGGTGCTTTCTATTTATCTTGTTCCTCTCTCCTTTAATTCACATTCATTTTTACCACTCTTTTGCCATTTGGGTAGTTATACTCAAAATCTTCCCTTATTCAGAATTTTTTGTTGGTCAAGGAGACGATGATTCTTGATTTGTTCCTCATGAAAATTAAGATCAACAAATACGAATAGAATTTTGGTACTGATGGTAATTTGTCTCCACGCACAATGTTGACGATCTTTTCAAGGAATTACTTTTGTAAATCTTCAAAACTTAATACAATCACGACCAACATTTCAATCCTATCGATCTTATGGTACGATGCTTTAGGTATGATTGGAATCTCCTTTTTTTGGTCTTCGTAGTAAATCTTGATGAAGCATTCTCTCATTCATGAAGTCATGATATACCAAAGTTTTCATCCATCAAGACAAGGCTTACTTGCAATAATCACGAAGACTGGATGGTCGAGAATTTCAAATTTGGGAATAGATATCGAGACAAGATTTGGTAATCAAAGGACAACAGGAGATTCAAAAATTTGGAATGCGCGCTCTCTTTCTCTCTCTCCCTTTCCCTGAGGTCCGAGACACACGAAAGCAATAAATATCCCAAGGCAAAATTGGTAAAACAACAGATCGTCCCAAACGCGACAGCAGGGAGATCCTTCTTTTGGAGGAAAGTTTAACATTAGACCAAAGGTGCCAAGGTGGTAAATCCTGGGGGCGCTCTTCACTTGTACCATTTTTATTAATGGGGGAGATCGAATTATATGAGTGTATGAAGGAGAATTTCCTGATTTCGCATACATTCGAAAAATATTTCTTTTATCATTCATGTTCCTCCTACAGATTTTTGAGTCGGTCTCGAGATGTCCACACACATTTTTGAATGGAACGTATTTGACAAACGGTTGTAGAGAGCGACATAACATCGTTCCACCATGTTCGTGAAAGGTAATTTGGAACCGGATGTGGGCTGGCGCTTATTAAAAGGGGCAGAATTGAGGGTGAGTCGAACGAAATATTCCAAAATTGCTGAGTTCAATTGTTACTTCTTTTGTTACATGTTCTTCGTCGGGAATGCGCATTAATTGCTTATCAATTTGTTTGTTTCTCCTCTTTGTCGGTTCCCAGATTTATGCTTTCGTCGAGGGTTTCCAGTGTGCTAGAGGGGAAACGGTGGGGGGGCAAAATTAGATGGAGATGAGGTCGTCAACCAAAGCATAAAAATTCCTGACCCATTTCTGCTCGATGCCTGGCAAAAAATTGTTTCCAGAAATTTTGCCCGTATGTAACGAGACGTCGAGTGGTAATGCAAGTTATGAGGTGCGTGGAGATGCGCAGTGGTGCGTGGTGATGAGGGCAAAATAAAAGAGACCTTAGTGGGAGAAGTCAATGCTATCCTCAATTAAACAAACACTGCGAACCCCCTTTCTCTCAAACTCGGGTCCAGAATAACTTCGAACGCAAGGAAATCACATCCTAGGTGTGTTGAAATTTGAAAAAAGTCTGTGGAAAAATTGTTGAACATAAGAAGTCTTTATTCATTAATCAATTAACGACATGATGGTATATATACAAATACGAAAACTCTACCCAATCCGACCCATGCTATGCATTGCAAAAAAAACATTAATCATCAACCCATGTAAAGGTGATAATATACATAATAAGAATATCTCATCATACTCATCGGAACACTACCCTGCAGTAAAGTGCTCATTTTCGAGGTGCCCCTGAATCACCTGAACTTAATATTTAGGAGACTGATTACCTGCCGGAAGTCCCTCGTCATGCAAAACTCCGCCTTGGCCAGCTTCATTAACTTTTTGAAGCTTACCATTTCTAG